AGGTCTCTATTTCTAATGTGTGCATATATTTTAATTTGTTACTAAATCCTTTAACAAATTACCATATATGGGTGCGGTCATGAACTTGGTCTCAAAGTTTTTCATCGTTTTCCTATAGTAAATCTTTAAATTAATTATAAGAAACATAATTACGAATTTTAATCCAGTCATACAGTTTTGTAAATTAAAAAGTGTTTAACAATAACTTGGTTTCTTGACTTATCTTTGATAAGTTAAAGACTTTAAAATAAACTCAGAGTCGTACCGACCCAGTTACAATATATTGAAACATAACAAGAAAATTAAAATAAAAAGTACTTAACAATTTTATACGATGGCCGGTACTTCAGACTACAGGGGTCCTGCAATGTTACTTGATCAACAATCACCATCTTACTCTACAATTACTCAACAGAAAGCAGCTACAATTTCTTTCGAGAAACAAGCCATTATTATCCCGGCAGCAGACGAACTAAAACTAGAAAACTACGTTAAGGCAGTAGAATCACTCGTACAGCCCAAAAATGTACTCTTTTCATCAATAATTTCTAATAGCAGAATCTGCATCTACCTCTCCAGCAAAGAAGCTGTTAAAACCTTTTTGACAGATCACGGAAGAATAAAACTAGGAGATATTATCATTAGAGCAAGAAGACTAGTCACTCCTGCTAATGGGTTACTGTTGTCCAATGTTTGTCCGACTATTCCTTATCGCATCATCGAAAAATATCTTGCTGAGAAGGGCTTTCATTTACTTTCACCGATGTCTTTCTTAAGAGCGGAAATCTAAGTCCCTCAATATAGTCACGTCCTAAGCTTCCGTAGACAGGTGTAATATACACCTGTCGACAATCTTGTCATTCCTGAATCAATTCTCATTGACTTCGGTAATACATCTTACCGAATCTTTCTCTCTGATGGACTAATCTGTTATCTCTGCCATAAATCATACCATACATCCATACTTACATCCCATTCTAAAATATCGACACCACTTGGTATACGAACGGCAGAAAACACAGAAATAAATTTTATAAAAAGAAAAGCAATATCAACAAAAAAGTCTAAAGCCCCTAAATCTGGCAAAAACTACAGAAATAGTTTCTACAGATTCACTTATCCAACCCGCACAGGAATTTATTGACGAAACTTCAACTCGGTTCGAATTAAACTATATAGAGATAGTTACCTTTGTGGCAGATGCACATGGTTTCACCAATCCATTAAATATTGCACTAGAATACACTAAAAACATATCAGGACTAATAACAATACTAACAGAAATCTATCCCAAACTCGTAGACAGACGCATTAAATCTAGAATTACACGAATAAAGAGGAAAATACATCGTCAGTAAAATATAGAAAAAATTAAAAAAGATCAAAACTCCGAAAATACAGATGTTTCGCAAGAAAGTACCAATTAAAAACAAAATATTAATAATAAATGGATATTATTCAGTAATACAAGGATTATTTACACATATCGAAATGTTTCAACTCTTAATAAAAGAAATAAACCCACAAATTATAGCTCTACAAGAAACGAACTTTAAAAACAACAAAACTTAAAACACTTTAATTCATACCACAAAATCAGTACCTACGCCAACAAAGCAAGCGGTGGGTTATCAGTATGTGTTAATTATAATCTAAAATCAGAAGAGATTCCTTTGCACTCTGCTTTAGAAGTCGTGGCAATTAAAGTTCAATGTCCAACTCAGCTATTTGTATGCAATGTTTATGTCCCATCAGATATGGATTTTGTCGCAATAGACCTGGAACATTTAATCAACCAAATTCCAAAACCTAGACTTATTCTTGATGACTTTAATGTTTACAACATTTCCTGGAGATGTTATTCCACAGGCAAAAGAGGAGAACAAACAAAAAAAAAATTATAATGAAACAGATTTTGTACTATTAAATACAGAAGAAAAACTCGTTTTAACTCTGTTACCGGCAATCATTCTGCTATTGATCTGACTATATGTGAATGTTTCCTAGTTCCTAGTATAAACCGGGAAGTATTAACCCATACCTACGATAGTGACCACTGGCCTATTATATATAAGTCCACAAGAACAATTATAAATTTTTCAGAAACATGGAACACTAAAGATGCAAATTGGATAGCTTACCAACAATATATTAAAGACTTTCTATCTAATTTTGAAACAGTAAGAGATAATATTAATGTTTTTACGGACAAATTCACCTCAATGTTAAAGAAGTAACCACAAATATTATAGGCAAAAAAGCAAAATCAAAACGTAAACATTCAGAACCGTGGTGAAATAAGCAATGTGAAGTGGCACTTAAACAAAGTAAGCATGGATTTAATGTATTAAAAAAACATCAAACACTGGAAAACATAACAGCTTTTATATAATATAGCTTACGCAAGGTACGTAATTAAAAAAAGTAAACGTGAAATATGGCAAAATGATGTTTCCACAACAAGCGAAAATACTCATGCATTAGAGATCTGGAATAAAATCTGTAGGATTAAGGCATTTCAGACAGCAACAAAATTAACTCTCTTGATATTGAAGGAAACTTAATTACCAACAACAGTCAAATAGCCAACGTTTTAGCGAATCAGACATAGTCAAGTGATTCCGTACATGACTCATTATTTGTCGAAAACAAAAAGAAAATAGAAAAAGAGGGCAAAATTACAGATTCCATCAGTCCGCTAAATGTTGCAATAAGTATGCAAGAACTAAACGAAGCACTGCAAGGACTTAAAAACTCTAGCCCTGGACCAGATGAAATTCCAAATTGTTTTTTAATTAATCTTCCATTACTGCTAAGTATCTACTCTTAGATAAATTCAATTTTTTATTTTTGAATAAACAATTTCCTAAATCCTGAAGTACCGCTACAATAATTCTTTTTTTTTTGAAACCTAACAAAAACAATTCAAACCCAAAATCTTATAGACCAACATCCTTAACATCTTCCTTATGTAAACTACTAGAAAAAATTTTAAATAGACGGTTACAATTCTTTTTAGAATCAAAAAATGTAATAGATATATTCTTTGATATAATTAAACCTTATGCTATTTTTAAATTACAGCATTGTCATAATGCATTCTAGCATTCGTCAAAAATTTTAAATATGACAGAAATTTCCGAGTTAAATCCAATCAGGAACTTTCTGAATACTACACACAAGAAAATGGCATACCCCAAGGATCTACACTAAGCGCAACACTCTTTTTAGTTGCAATCTGCAAGTATATCGAGAACAGCATCCGAAACCCTGTTAAAGGAATCCTATATGCGGATGACCTCGTAATCTATATTTCTCATAGGAATCTTAATATGGCATCAAACATTATTCAACTTTCCATTAGTTCCCTACAGGAATGGTCTAAAATAACAGGACTGAAATTTTCTACGGTTAAAACCAAAGTAATGTGCTTTTCTCGAAAATACCAAATTGTTGCAAATCTTCCAAAATTAACACTGCATGATCAAGTTTTAGAAAACGTTGAGGAACTTAGATTTCTAGGTATGATTTTGATTTAAAACTTACTTGAAACAAACACATCCAATTACTTAAAGAATCATGTTTACAGAACATAAATATTCTTAAAGTACTAGCAAATCATAACTGGGGTGTAGACACAAAACAGCTACTAAATATTCACAAATCCATATTCCGTTGTAAATTATATTATGGATCAATTAATGTAATTCAGCCAAGGACTCAACATTAAAAAAAAAATAGATTTCCGAGTATTATGCATACTAATATTGATTTTGTTCCCCCTTGGACTATTTAAATTCCATATTGTAACACAGATCTGTCAATTTATACTAAGGACAATACCCGTTCATATCTTTTTTTTTTAATACTACTGCAATATTAAAACTAAATATTCATCTCGTCAACTAGTTTATACCGATGCATCAAAAACACCCAAATTAGAAACAGTAGAATCCGGCATTGTCACAGGGGATTCTGTGCTCAAGTTTCTACTACCTAAGGACTACTCAATATATTCTGCTGAACTTTTTGCGATATACAAGGCAATACAACAAACTATTAATCGACCTGAAGACATAACAGTAATATTCTCAGTTTCCTTATGTGCAATCGCATGAATTCAGAAAATATATCCGAATCATTCGATTTTAGAACAGATTAAAAAAAACCTTGTGACTACAAAATAATCATAAACAACTACATGTTGTGTGGATTCCATCTCATGTGGGGATATCAGGAAAAAAGATAGCTGATCAAATGGCCAAAGAAGCTTGTCAAATGGAGAGATCCGATGATAGAACTAACCAAATTTCTAATTCAGATATGAAAAAATGCATCAATGAGTACACAAAAAATTTATGGTTACGAAGGTTGCAACTCTTACCAAATAATTAATTGCGGCAAGCAAACCAATATCTATCAGCGAAAACACCAATTTTAGTAAAGCGAAGGGACCAGGTTGTACTACATCGTATCCAAATACCAGACTGACGTACAAACACCTTTACTTTAACTTTAGGCCACATTGTTATAGACTGTCCATTATATCAAATGGAAAGACAAGCTATTGGACTATCAATTTATATAAAGTGTGCTTCAGAAAATGCGGATTGTGACAAAATAATTAGGTTTTTAAAGAAAATGAAATTGTATAACCAAATAGATCAAGAAAAAATCTAAATTATAATTAACTTTGTAAAAACTTATATTTTAGTTTATATTATATAATAGTCATTATAATAAATATTATAGTATATATTGTACCACCGCTAATAACTTTCTATGGTTGATGCGAATTATTCCCAATAAAAATTTCATATAAAACGATCCCGAACTATTAAAATCAAACAAGTAACATACAAGTAGTAAAAATAAATAAATAACACTCAAATTAATCTTTGTCATAAATATAAAATATATATAAATATTTAGTCCAAAATATTTTGTTTTTAATTTTATATAATTAGGCTATACCCATATATAGATTTGGTTTTTTTTAGGTTCAGCAATCGAGCATATCTGTGAAGTACATGACGAGGAAGTCTCTCCCGATAGGACCATATTAGTTAGAGCAGCACGATGTCTACTGGGTGCTATTACTAGAGTTTTACTTTTGGCTGACATCGTAGTTGTAAAACAACTTCTGTTTGCCAAAGATAAGGTAATCTTTTATTTTATATATTTGTTTATGTAAATTTGCATATCATTCCCGAATTATCCAGAAAGTAAAGTTATCCAGTATAATGCAGTAAGTGCAGAAATTAACAGATGTGTATATATAGGGCAAATGGAGCAAATGATATTTTTTAGAAATATCTGCGAACCAAATTTACATTTTGGGCTGTCAGAAACTAAATCTCGTTCCTAGAACAATCTAAAATTATCTACCTAACTTTAAACTGCAATAAACTTTTGACATACTGTTCAGAACGGCTCTGAAAAGTTTTAATTAAAGCAAATAACAACCATTCATATTATGTACGTGGATTACGTGTGGTTTCGATTGTGAAGTAACAAAAAGCAATTTTTGATGGAAACCTAGCTTATTTTCAAGTAAAATAGATAAAACAAATTTATACAATGTAACTACAAAAAAACTACGCAAATGTTTCAAAACCAATGATAACAGTGGAAAGCTACAGCAGAACTAAAATTTACAAGCCAATAAGAAAAAACCAAAATTTAAAATTAGGAGCTTAATAAGCTTAATTTTTTTGTTTCATAGTATTTACTTCCTTTTTTATTGATTTTCTAACATTACTGTTTATTAGTCTATGAATATAACAAGTCTATAAAAAACACTGTAATTAAAGCATACCTGTGAATAAGTCTTCGTTTTTTTGTAATAAATCTGAGTAGGAGGTCTTCCTATACTTCTTTTGTCTAACCTCGGCCTCCACTCAAGCAATCTTTTCATCCACCTTTTATCACTGATTCGGGCGACGTGTCCGATCCAGTTCCATTTCACTGTGGCAATTCAGAAAATTACATCGGTAACGCCTACTCTTCTTCTTAAGTCTTCATTTCTAACTCATGTAGCTGTCAATGTCAAAGTTTCGCCACCATAGGTCATCACAGGCAACACACATTGGTCAAATGTTTTACGTTTTAAAGAAATTGATATATATATTTTTTAAAGATATCTTTGAGTTTTTCATAGACTACCCATGCTAGGTTTATTCTTCTTCGTAGTTCGCATGTTTGGTTGCCTCTTGTGATCTTTATTTTGTGTCCAAGATATATGTATTTTTTCACTAACTCTACTTCGTTCTCTCCAATACTGATATTTCCGCTAGGTACTAGGTTTGTCATGAATTTTGTTTTGGAGATGTTTATTTTAAGATCCACACTGGCACACACTAAATGAAGTTCATGTAGCATTGTTCATTCATTCATATCTCCTTGAGGTTGTCCGAAAACAAAACTATGTCGTCTGCAAATTTTAAATGTGTTAATCTTCTAACTTCTTGTTCCAAATCCGGTACGAAATCCCGCTTGCTCTATTAGCTGGTAGAAATCAAATTTTTTCTCAAGACGATTCGTTACTATTCTTTTAAGAAGGTTGTATAGGTGACTAAGAAGACTTATAGGTCTGTAGTTTTCTAATTCATAAGGATCTCCTTTTTTGTACAATAGAATTACCTCAGCACTGTGCCATTTATCGGGTATATTACTGTCCAAAAGGCGCATGTTAAAAAAATTTTTATTTTTATAAGTAGGTAAGTGCCTCCGATTTTAATTGCACCAGTGACTACACAATCTTCGCCTGGATATTTGTTATTCTTAGCTTTTCTTAGGGCTATTGTTATTTCGTAATGCCTTTTTTCCTTGTTAATATTTCTAGTACTTGATCTTCTCTGCCGACGATACTGTGCTTCTAGCTGAAAACATCGACGATCTGCAGGAGCTAATCAATAGAGTTGACATGGAATGCACAAATTGGGGACTGTCGATAAATATCGATAAAACTAAATACATGGTGACCAGTAAAGTGGATATCGGCGCAACCCAACTGATATTAAACCAACAACCGCTGCAAAGAGTTCAGAGATTCAAATACCTTGGATGTTGGATTACCCAAAATCTAGATCCATCCTTCGAAATTCGATGTAGAATTGAACAGGCAAGAAACTCATTTTAAAAATTCAAGCCTCTATTATCCATTAACTCATTAAATTTGTAAATCCGTGAAAAGTTTACAAGATGTCACGTGTGGTCTGTACTTTTGTATGGATGTGAAACTTGGACTTTAAACGCCGATATCATGAATAAAATCGAGGCGTTGGAGATGTGGTTTTATCGAAGGATACTAAAAATTCCATGGACTAGCAGAACCAGAAACGAAGAAGTTCTTCGAATAATGGGACATCAACGAACTCTATTAAGTATTATTAAGAGGCGTAAACTAGAATATCTTGGACATATAATCAGAGGACCAAGATATGAGTTCCTTCGGCTAATTCTCAACGGTAAAATCGAAGGAAAGAAATGGATAGGACGGAAGAAACTCTCTTGGTTGAGGAATTTGCGGCAGTGGACAGGTTTGACAGCGGACCAATTGCTACACGTAGCGCAAGACCGAGATCAGTATAATAATATTATAAGCATGGTAGTCGGCGACGTTCCGTAGGGATATGGCACTCTAAGAAGAAGAAGAATCTTCTCTGCTATTTGCTTTGTGTTGGCTTGTGTACAGCAATTTGTAGTAATCTTTAATTATTTTAAGGGTTTCCTCTCTGTTGGTTGTAAGATGACTATTTCTTAATACTTTCATACTTATATTGTTCTTAATGATATGTTCAATTTGTTCTCGGTTGTATTTTCGAGAAAAACTGGTGTGACGGACGCAGTTGAAAGAATTCCAACCCTGAAATGGAACTGGGCAGGACATGTTGCTAGGGTCAGAGATGGAAGATGGACAAAGAAAATTTTAGAGTGGAGGCCTAGACACGATGCTTATCGTAGTCGAGGACGTCCTCCAACAAGGTGGTCGGACGATTTAAAGCGCATCCAGTCTAACTGGATTCAAGTTGCTCAAGATCGGATGCAATGAAATTATTTACGGGAGGCCTATGTTCAGCAGTGGACGCAAAATGGCTAATGATGATGATGATGTATTTTCGAGTGTCTTGTCTAACAGCTTTGCATATTTCTTTATTTAATTTGTGTAGTTCGTCGGCTTTAGTTTCTGTCTCGCTTCTCATTTCTCTTCTTTTCTGCATTAGTTGTCTAGTATTTTAGCTAAGCTTCTCTTCTGTGTCTTCATATTCTAGCTAGGTTCTAGGCCATAATTTGTTTTGACTTTCCAGTAAAGCATTTGTTAATTTATTATTTAAGCCGTTTAAAAGTAAACATAGAGATAGTAATCTGAATGGAAAAAGTGTAATAGAATTTGCTTTCGAACACAATATGCGAATTATGAGCACTTATTTTGATCACAAAGAAATTCATAAAGGTACCTGGATATCACCAGATGGACAAACAGTAAACCAAATAGATCATTTCCTAATAGAAGCCAAACATATGAAAGCCATAAAAGATAGCCGAAGTTACAGAGGTGCTGATGCAAATTCGGACCACTTTTTGGTCAAAATTAAAATGGAGCAAATAATACCCACAATTAATAACGCTAGTTGTAAAAAAATAAAAATATATAATGGTGCACTACTTCAGGAGGGAGAAGTTAGGAAAAAATTCAGGCAGCAAATTGAAGAGAAACTGAAAAGCCAGACAACAGTAAATGATATAGAAAGCAGATGGGTACAACTAGAAGAAAAAATTCAAGAAGCAGCCGACTCAGTATTATCAAGAAACAGACAATGTAAACAAACGGATTGGTATGATGAGGATTGTAAGAAACCCATTAGTGACAGAAATAAAGCTAGAATAAATAGCATAATAAGAAATAATGAAGAGAGTAAAAAAGCTTATGCCGAAAAAAGACGGGAAGCAAAGAAGATCTGTAGAAGGAAGAAGCGTTTAAGTTTAGAGCAGAAACTAGTTCGTATTGAAGAAGATTTTTTACATAAACAAGTCAGGAATTTCTACCAAGAAATAAAACGAGACTGAACCCAGTACAAAACCACATAAAGATATTATAAAGATGAAGAGGGGAATCTGTTAGGTGGAACAGATGAAAAATTAAGAAGGTGGGCCAGTTATTTTGAGAACATATTATTATGTACGTACGACCAAGATGAAAGAGAACAAACGCAACTACAACATGAAGAAGTAAGGGACACAGATGTAAATGAAGAAGTACCTACCAAGGAAGAAATTATAGAGATCATAAAAAACTTAAAAAACAACAAAGCATCTGGTGAAAATGATATCATTGCTGAGTTTTTAAAAGAAGGTGGCGAAATGGTACAATTTTACAATGAAACAAATTTTAGCTAGCTCATATGAATTCAACCTAACAGTACACATGCTGTTTATTGACTTTAGAATGGCATATGATACTATAAAAAAAATAAAGTATATGAAGCACTAGAATATTTTGAATTTCCACCAAAAATAGTAAGACTGACTAAATGCATACTCAATGATACTAAAAGTAAAGTCATGTTAGAAGGACGGGTTTCGGATAGTTTTATCACCAATAGAGGTCTGCGACAAGGTGATCCGTTATCAACAGATTTTTTCAATTTGATCTTAGAGAAGATTTTACGAGAATGTAACATCTACACTAGAGGCACAATATATCATCACAGGCATCAATGTGTAGCATATGCAGATGATGTTACCTTAATAACAAGGAGACCTGCAGAATTAAGAGAAATCTTTATTAGAATAGAGAGAATAGCCAGAGAATATGGTTTAGAAATAAACGAAGAAAAAACAAAATATATGGTGATGAGGGGAAACGAAAATCATCTAGGAGAGTCCTTTAAGGTACAAAGCCCAAGTAAAGAATATAACTTTGAAGTTGTTAGCCAATTCGACTACTTGGGAGTGACACTAATAAATAGGAACGAAGAGAACCAAGAAATCATAAAAAGAATGGCCAAAGGTAGTAAGAGTGCTGGGAGCCTGACTAAGATACTGAGGTCGAAGATAATATCCAGAACAGCAAAAAAACGAATATATACAACAGTTATCCGACCTACAGTACTCTATGCTAGCGAGACCTGGACACTAAATAAAGATATGGAAGTAAAA